AAGCAGGCAAATCCCATGGTTAAAGGGACCAGTTGTAATTCTGTATTGGAAACAAGGAACTGGGGATGGCTCAAGGAACCAAAATTGCCACTCTTAAGTCTTACTTATCACCCAAAACTTGTGGTTTCCCTTATTAAAACAAACTGTGGGTAAGAAGATGCTGAGTTTGGTGATACGTACCAGCTACCATGGACTGCCTCAGGCAGCACATGTTTTCCTAGAAGCAGCTGCTGCCTCAGCAACCCTTCTTTCCCTTCCTCATTTCCAGATCCTCTTCAGCACCATCCTTACGTGTCGTCCTTCTCTTCTGATTTCTTCTACCACCACTATTCTTTCCTGATTTCCCTTAAGTCATCCCAACCACCAAAATCTATGTTCAAATTTCTCCCACTTTCTTTTTACTATAGGTTTCTCGAAAATGCTGCACTGAGCAGAGGGGTCTCGTGCCATTTTTATGTGTTAGTCTTCTTTTTGGTGAAGTAATATGGTAGGGATTATTGTTGTTCCTACCATAGTATCAACATGGATTTCTATAATAAGTCCCATATATTTCACTTCCAGTTATTTATTTGTCGTGTCAGGACAACCAGTCAAATTATATTACATTTCTAACAGAACAAAGCAAACAAACAGACAAAATACAAAATTTGTGAGTTTGGTAGTTGATTAAACGTCCTTTGACCAGTATCTGGCCACTTGGAGTGCTTCTGGTGTTGCTGCAAGAAGGTCCTCCATTGTGCATGTGGCAGGGCTCAGGTTGCATTGCTCTTCAGGGGTGTTTGAATGCAATATTCCTGCTTCTTGGCAGGGGGTTGGACTGGATGGCCCATGAGGTCTCTTCCAACTCTTCTATGATTCTATGATTCTATAGTTTGCTCTTCTCCACACTCTCATGTCATGGATTCCACTTTGTGGCCCCATTTCTTAAGGTTGGCTCTGCATCTCGTGGTGCCAGAGCGCAGTCTGTTAAGTGCCTTCCAAGTCGCCCAGTCCTCTGTGTGCCCAGGGGGGAGTCTCTCATTTGGTATCAGCCATTGGTTGAGGTTCTGGGTTTGAGCCTGCCACTTTTGGACTCTCGCTTGCTGAGGTGTTCCAGCAAGTGTCTCTGTAGATTTTAGAAAACTATTTCTAGATTTAAGTCATTGACATGCTGGCTGATACCCAAACAGGGGATGAGCTGGAGATGTCTCTGCCTTGGTCCTTTCACTATTGGCTGCTACTTCCCGGAGGATGGCAGGTGGTGCAATACCGGCTAAACAGTGTTATTTCTCCAGTGGTGTAGGGCGCAGACACCCCGTGATAATGCGCCATGTTTTAGTGTGGTGAGATGTGTTCCACACTGGGCATGCATACTCAGCAGCAGAGTAGCACAGCGTAGCTACTCAGCAGCAGAGTAGCACTTCCAGTTATTATGATGGCTTTGGAAGATTGATGTTTCTCCTTAGCTTGTCCCCCTCCACTTTCAACTGACTTACAAGACCACAACTGGACTGTTAACCCTGTTTCCAAATGAAGTAACACATTTCATATTTTGCATTCTGTTTTGTTTTGAAAGGCATGGGTTTTGCATATCTCTAGGGAAATGGAAATGTTTCATTTTTACAATGTGATATCACATATATATATATAAAAGCACGTTGGGAATTCCACTCCTGTCAAGGCTTTCGTTTCATCACATTTGCCACTTCAGCATGAAAAGAGTTTTGTTTTTTGTTTTTGTTTTTAAAGGGAATCCTAGTTGGGCTTCTCTGCTATGATTTGATTTTAAGCTATAGGACATTTTCAGTGGCCTTGTGCTCCAGCAAAAGCTACCATCTGTGAAAAATATTTAATTTTTCCCCTGGTTCTCTACTACAAACAGGAGACATAGATGGGCAATCTGCCACCCGAAGGAAGCAGATTTGACATCATCTGTTCTGCTGAGAACACTTGGTACTTCTTGGGAATATGAAAAGGGAGAGACTCATAGCCCTGTCGGTCTGTAGGGCAAAGTTTACTAATCTTCCCTGACCATTTTGTTTTATAATGTTATGGCACTTGAGGAAAATTTTTAATTAAGTTAGAGCTCTGAGAATTCTTAAATTATTTGGCATATATAGATTCTCAGAAACAACGCTCTGACAACAGAAAATGAAAGATAAATAGATAGAAAGCTAACAATTCTAGTTAATTTTCTTAGTCTTCTTCCGAGTGGCATTTTCTCTTCATTGCAAACTGGTTTACTATATATGCAGATATACATATAGATAGAATTTCTAAACTGCTTTTATGCTATACAGCACTCAAGACAACTTATAAGTGATTAAATATTCATTATTTCACTTATTTATAGTCTGCATTTCTCTGCAATGGGCACACAAAGTGCCTTGCCTTGAGACCTTTCTAATGCAAGACAATAAAAAACAAAAACATTACATGCATAATTTCAATTATGAGGATAATGCAACTCTCTCAGTGTTATCTCCAGTAAAATATGATGTAATTCTTATTCCAACACTGTTCTGAGCAAACATTCACTACCCACGGGTTAAATCATGCTTGCTCTAACTCAGTGGTTCTCAACCTGTGGGTCTCCAGGTGTTTTGGCCTACAACTCCCAGAAATCCCAGACAGTTTACCAATTCTTAGGATTTCTGAGAGTTGAAGGCCAAAAAATCCGGGGACCCACAGGCTGAGAACCACTGCTCTAACTCTAGACCAGATTGGCATTCATGCATTGATCATCTTTCTCTAACCCAGTGGTTCTCAACCTGTGGGTCCCCAGGTGTTTTGGCCCACAACTCCCAGAAATCCCAGCCAGTTTACCAGCTGTTAAGATTTCTGGGATTTGAAGGCCAAAACACCTGGAGACCCACAGGTTGAGAACCACTGCTCTAATAGAAGCCAGGTATGCACAATGTTGTAGGAGATGGACCTATCAAATCTGGTGGATAGCTTCTTTTTTTTTTGTCATGTCAGGAGCGACCTGAGAAACTCCAAGTCGCTTCCTGGTGTGAGAGAATTGGCCGTCTGCAAGGACGTTGCCCAGGGGACGCCCGGATGATTTGATGTTTTTATCATCCTTGTGGGAGGCTTCTCTCATGACCCCGCATGAGGAGCTGGAGCTGATAGAGGGAGCTCATCCGCCTCTCCCCGGATTCGAACCTGCGACCTGTCGGTCTCCAGTCCTGCCGGCACAGGGCTTTAACCCACTGCGCCACCGGGGGCTTCAGTGGATAGCTAGCATGTGGGAAAGATTTACTATTTCAATCTGACATGCAAGTATCAGTGGGGTTAAGGATGGTGTTGGGGCAATGGGGGAGTTAAGATATAATCTCATTTCTCCACCAGGTGTAGGCCCTACTTCATTACATCTGAAAGTAAATCTCTCAAACTGTGACCAGTGGCCATGCTGGCTAGAAAGATGGGAGATGTAGTCCTCACATCTGGAAGGTGCCATATCAAAGGAGGCCACTGTAAATCAGTGGTAGGGGTGTAATTTACAGTTAATCCCCAAAGGCGGTAAAATGATAAACATGTTGAGAAGCTCAACCCTAGGCAATTTCAGTAAGAGATAAATATTCAGGGGCACTTATTTCCTCCTAAGTATATTTACTATAGAAAACATCCTAAAATCCATGAAGAATACTGAGTTACTTCTGGTCTCTTGTATATATAAAGAAGAAGTTGACATAATTATAAAATATATTTCAATGTCTGTACCTATTTTGTAATTTACAGCAGCAAGTGGTTCTGCTGTCCTTTAATGCAAACTTCAGATTTAGTTCTGTAAAGCAGCTGTGCTTTGACTTTTCCCTTAGGCTACAGCTCCCACATTTCCACACCACTAGGTTTGCTGGTTGTGGCTTCTGGGAGCAGAAGTCCCAAGATCTCTGGAGTACAAGAGGTCCCCCTCTCTGCTAATGGGGCTTAGTTACATTCACCCTAAGTTTCTAATTGTTTAATCTGCCACAAATGTGTGGATTTATGCACAACGAAGAACTTCAACTGCACCACAGCGAGCAACAAGTACAAGTGCTCAACTAAGCAAGAAAAATAATACAGTGGTAGATACCTATTTGTCCACAGTACTTTGAAAAAGGCTTAGAGCAGGGGTCCACAAACTTTTTAAACAGAGGGCCAGGTCACAATCCCTCAAACTGTTTGCGGGCCGGATTATAATTTTAAAAAATGAATGAATTCCTATGCACACTGCACATATCTTATTTATAGTGCAAAAAACATTTTAAAACAATACAATAATTAAAATTAAGAACAATTTTAACGAACATAAACATATTAGTATTTCAATGGAAAGTGTGGGCCTGCTTTTGGCTGATGAGATAGGATTGTTGTTGTTATTGTGTGCTTTCAAGTAGTTTCATACTTAGGTTGACCCTGAACGAAGGCCGGGTAAATGACCTTGGAGGGCCACATCTGGCCCCCGGGCCTTAGTTTGAGGACCCCTGGCTTAGAGGAAGTTCTCACTAAAAGTTTCCCATCCAAATCTCAATCAGGCTGAAGCCCACACAGCTTTATCATACTGTCCTTCAGACTTTTATGCGGAGGAACTCAAGAGGCGGAGCCAGAAGAAATCCAACTCTTGTCCACCTTGTCCTGGCTCCATCCTCTCAGGTTGGCAGCAGCTCAACACAGTCACATGCACAAGCCTTTCCCAGTCTTGCCATAACAGTCACAGGAGCTGTGATTTGAACCTTCTGGGCAAATGAAGCCTGTACTATGCAGTTGGGGTATGGGCCCTCCCACCCACAAAAAGTATGACTAATTTAAATCCCAGTATTCACAAAAGTTGATTAAAAATGGCACTGAAATGACAGCTGCTCCAAATCCTAACATTTGACATCTCACACATGCATAAAAGCAGAGCTGCAAAGACTTTAATGTGAAAACCAGGTTTTGGCACAGTTCACAGTATAGCTTCTTGCAGCTCTTCTACCAGGACTCCAAAGTCCACCAAACCATTAAACAAGATGCCGAGGTGGCCTTTTCCTTGTACTCACCCCAAGCCATCTTGCTCCTTTACTAGCAGCTTGTTGAATCTGTACTCTTTTGAGGGTGACGTGATAGACTGCATCTTCTTCTACCTCTTCACCCCCGTCCTGAATTAAGCTCTGTGACGGAAGGGGGGAAAAGGGAATACTTGGGTCATTTAAAACAGCAATACGCATCGGTCCCTTTCTTTCTAAGACTAAATCTAGGTCAGCCACCCTACATCTTGTTGGAGGGGGTTCGGAGCACAGAGTGTGTGTAGATATGACAAGCACAAAGTGAGGCAAGATGTTTTTCAATGGAGGCAAAGCTGGGATACATCTGGCAGGCTGCCTTGGCCTGCGATATCTGGCTACGCTGTGTTTCCATTGAGCTGCTCCCCACTCCCCCCCACCCCAACCCAGGCTCGCACATATTTGAAATAGTTTTACAGTGTCTTTTTCATCAGGAAACACTCCCTCCCTGCTTGCCCCCAACACACACTGTCATTACTCTTTCAGCTGAAGAGACAGCAGAGCACCATTAAAACAATCAAATATTCAAACAGTAAACAAGCAGGCGTTTCAGGCAGACTCGCTCTTCACTTTTTGGAAGCAATCTGAAATTATCTAAACACGAAAAGAACACCGCTGAATGCTCTCCGCACATCGAAAAAGGTTTTCTAAAACTTGTCACAAAGTTGAGGCAAATAGTTAGTTATCCAAGGCCCCTTCCATGCTGCCATATAAAATCCAGATCATCTGCTTTGAACTGGATTATATGGCAATGTAGAATCATATAATCCAGTTTAAAGCAGATCATATGGATTATCTACTTTGAAAAACTGGATTATATGATAGTTTAGAAGGGACCCTAACCTCCCTTATGCCACTTTATCGAAAGTCCTGTCTACATTGCCATATAAAATCCACATTATCTGCTTTGAATTGGACTATATAAATCTACACTGCCATATAATTCAAGCCCCTTCCACACAACTGAACCAAATCCCCCCATTATTTGCAGTGTGGACTCAAGATATTCCAGTTAAAAGCAGATATTGTGGGATTTCCTGCCTTGATATTCTGGGATATAGGGCTGTGGGGAAGGGCCCCAGTTCAAAGCAGATAATCTGGATTTATATGGCAGTGTAGAAGGGGCCTTAGGCGGGATCTACACTGCCTTATATCCCAGGATCTGACCCCCAATTTTCTGCTTTGAATTGGATTATATGAATCTACAATGCCAGATAATCTGGGGGCCCTTCCACACAGCCCTATATCCTAGAATACCAAGGCAGAAAATCCCACAATATCTGCTTTGAACTGGGTTATCTGAGTCCACACTCAGATAATAGAATCATAGAGTTGGAAGAGACCTCATGGGCCATCCAGTCCAATCCCCTGCCAAGAAGCAGGAAAATCATATTCAAATCACCCCCAACAGATGGCCATCCAGCCTCTGTTTAAAAGCTTCCAAAAAAGGAGTCTCACTCTCCACCACACTCCAGGGCAGAGAGTTCCACTGCTGAACAGTTCTCACAGTCAGGAAGTTCTTCCTAATGTTCAGCTGGAATCTCCTTTCCTGTAGTTTGAAGCCATTGTTCCGCGTCCTATTCTCCAGGGAAGCAGAAAACAAGCTTGCTCCCTCCTCCCTATGAAATCCCACAATATCTGCTTTGAATATCTGAGTCTACACTGCAAATAATGTGGGATTTGGTTCAGTTGTGCAGAAGGGGCAGTTTAGATCCAGCCTAAGGCCCCTTCTACACTGCCATATCAATCCAGATTATCTACTTTGAACTGGGGGCCCTTCCACACAGCCATAAAACCCAGAATATCAAGGCAGGAAATCCCACAATATCTGCTTTGAATATCTGAGTCTACACTGCAAATAATGTGGGATTTGGTTCAGTTGTGCAGAAGGGACAGTTTAGATCCAGCCTAAGGCCCCTTCTACACTGCCATATAACCCAGAATATCAAGGCAGGAAATCCCACAGTATCTGCTTTGAGTAACTGAGTCTACACTGCAAATAATGTGGGATTTGGTTCAGTTGTGCAGAAGGGACAGTTTAGATCCAGCCTAAGGCCCCTTCTACACTGCCATATAACCCAGAATATCAAGGCAGGAAATCCCACAATATCTGCTTTGAATATCTGAGTCTACACTGCAAATAATGTGGGATTTGGTTCAGTTGTGCAGAAGGGACAGTTTAGATCCAGCCTAAGGCCCCTTCTACACTGCCATATAACCCAGAATATCAAGGCAGGAAATCCCACAGTATCTGCTTTGAGTAACTGAGTCTACACTGCAAATAATGTGGGATTTGGTCCAGTTGTGCAGAAAGGGCAGTTTAGATCCAGCCTAAGGCCCCTTCTACACTGCCATATAACCCAGAATATCAAGGCAGGAAATCCCACAGTATCTGCTTTGAATATCTGAGTCTACACTGCAAATAATGTGGGATTTGGTTCAGTTGTGCAGAAGGACAGTTTAGATCCAGCCTAAGGCCCCTTCTACACTGCCATATAACCCAGAATATCAAGGCAGGAAATCCCACAGTATCTGCTTTGAATATCTGAGTCTACACTGCAAATAATGTGGGATTTGGTTCAGTTGTGCAGAGAAAGGGCAGTTTAGATCCAGCCTAAGGCCCCTTCTACACTGCCATATAACCCAGAATATCAAGGCAGGAAATCCCACAGTATCTGCTTTGAATATCTGAGTCTACACTGCAAATAATGTGGGATTTGGTCCAGTTGTGTGGACGGGGCAGTTTAGAAGATTCCACCACCCACAAATCTTGAAGGAAACGACCAGATTACAACTTTGTGACTGTGGAAGAAGAAAAGTTAGTACAAAAGTGCATCCCTTTCCTCAACCATAAGAAAAAGCAACGCTAAGCATCCCTTCTCGCTCAAGTTTTGAGGGAAGGGCGAGGGAAGCCAAAGTCCTCTCCTTCGCCTGAGGGGAGCAGCACAAGCAGCAGCCTTGGAAGCAGGAAGCTCTCGTTTACCATTTAGCTCTCCAGAGCACTTTCATCCTTGGGTTCCCCTCCTCCTGTCCACCGAAGGGGCATGCTGGGTCCCAGGGAAAATCACCGACAGCCGCTTCTCCCGCTCGTCTTCCTCGCTCTCGTTTGCCCGCACTTTCTTCAGCTCAAGGCATGGCCACAAAGGCTGCGAGTGAGGGAGTGAGTGGGTGAGCGAAGCGCAGAGAGTCACACAGAGAAGGAGAGAGAGAGAGGACTCCTCCCCTCCGGGCTGCGAGGGATGCGAGGCTTTCCTGTTTGTGCTCTTTCGAGGGAGCCCCTGGGCCCCGCCCCACGAAGGGTCTTCCCCTTCCCCAAGAGAGAGAGAGAAAGAGAGAGAGAGAGAGGCTCGGGGCCACACAACACAACGCGCGCGCGCACCAAAAAAAAGGGCGGGCCGGCCTCGGCCCAAAGGGCAACAAAGGCTGAGGGAAAGGGGCAGAGCGCCTCTCCCCCTCTGGCTTCTCTGCCCCATTCACTCCCAATGACCCAGAGGGAGGGAGGGAATGAGGGAGAGGCGGACAATAAGGAGGGGAGCTGCTTTCGCAATGCCTTCATCTCACACTCTTCCAAGAAGGCAGAGGTAATTTTCAACACAATATTTTGGCGCCCCCCCCCCAACCAATCATTGATATATATTTTCTGTTCGTCGTGGGAGTTCTGTGTGCCATATTTGGTTCAATTCCATCATTGGTGGAGTTCAGAATGCTCTTTGATTGTAGGTGAACTATACATCCCAGTAACTACACTTGCTGCATTTGCTCCCTTGCCTGGCCCGCTTTGGGTCTGGAGGCATGCCTGAAGACCCCTGCGTGTGCACCAAAAGTCACCTCTTCTCCTGACTTTCTCCTCAGCCATTGGGACCGAGAGAGAGAAAGAGAGAGAGAGAGGTGGAGATGCCCACCTTTCCTGAAGGTAGGCGCAAAAACAAAGGAGGGAGCGGAGGTGGGAGATACCTCCAGCCGGAGGGGCTCTCTCTCTCTCTCTCTCTCTCTCTTGGTCCCAATGGCTGAAGAGAAAGTCAGGAGAAGAGGCGACTTTTGGTCCGCACGCTGGGGTCTTCAGACATGCCTCCGGACCCGAAGCAGGCCAGGCACGGCGGCTCTGCCCCTTGGCCCACCCGCGGATTGGGGAGAGGAGAGGAGGCAGGTGGAGTGCCGGGGGATCGGGAAAGGGAGCCGGTCATGGGGAAGGGATCGAACACGGAGAACAATTGAGCACTGGCTCTGCTCGCACACCCGGTGGCCAGGTGGAGCAGGAACGAGAGGGGCTAGGCGAGGCTCAAGGGCCTGGCCCCTTTAGGAAGAGGATCGCCCAGCAGCAAGGCAAGAAAGCCGAGGCTCCCCCCCGGACTACTAGGGCTGTTGTGAGCTGAGGGGGCGCTCCTCAAGTGGTGGTCGAGGGGCATTTACAGAGGCGCCTCTGCCCCCTTGGCAAAAAAAAGTGTTCTGCGACCGCTTACTTTGCGTAATGGACAAGCCGCCCCTGCCCCTCAGGCTTCTCTGCCCCATTCACTCCCAATGACCCAGAGGGAGGGAGTGAATGAGGGAGAGGCAGACAAAAAGGAGGGGGGCTGCTTTCGCAATGCCTTCATCTCACACTCTTCCAAGAAGGACACCACAGTCTTGGGTTTTTTCCTATTTTTTATGTATTTCGTATCAAAAACATTGCATCAATTAGTATAAAACTAATAAAAAATAGAAGGAGCGCAGGCGGCGAAATATCTTTCGACCCAAAACGGGCAACAGCAACAGCATTGTCTGTAGCCTCCAACAATTCTTCCTCTGTACATGAGGCAGGGCGTAGTGGACAAGCATATAGATGCACAGTTTATTTATTTATTTATTTATTATTCAAACGTATATGCCGCCACAAGATCTCGGAGTCCTCGTGGACAACAAGTTAAACATGAGCCAACAATGTGACGTGGCGGCAAAAAAAAAGCCAATGGGATTTTGGCCTGCATTAATAGGAGCATAGTGTCTAGGTCCAGGGAAGTAATGCTACCCATACTCTATTCCGCCTTGGTTAGACCACACCTGGAATATTGTGTCCAATTCTGGGCACCACAATTCAAGAGAGATATTGACAAGCTGGAATGTGTCCAGAGGAGGGCGACTAAAATGATCAAGGGTCTGGAGAACAAGCCCTATGAGGAGCGGCTTAAAGCTGGGCATGTTTAGCCTGAAGAAGAGAAGGCTGAGAGGAGATATGATAGCCATGTATAAATATGTGAGAGGAAGCCACAGGGAGGAGGGAGCAAGCTTGTTTCCTGCTTCCTTGGAGACTAGGACGGAGAACAATGGCTTCAAACTACAAGAAAGGAGATTCCATCTGAACATGAGGAAGAACTTCCTGACTGTGAGAGCCGTTCAGCAGTGGAACTCTCTGCCCCGGAGTGTGGTGGAGGCTCCTTCTTTGGAGGTGTTTTAAACAGAGGCTAGATGGCCATCTGTCAGGGGTGATTTGAATGCAATATTCCTGCTCTTGGCAGGGGGTTGGACTGGATGGCCCATGAGGTCTCTTCCAACTCCTTGATTCTATGATTCTCCTGGGGCTCGGAGCGGCTTACAAGAATGGCTAAAATCTAACACAATTTTAAAACAATTTAAAAACAGCAATATTAAAAATCAAAAGCCTGTCAAAACAGGTATGTCTTACAAGCCCTGCGGAAAGCTGATAAGTCCCACAAGGCACAGACTTCAGGTGGCAGAGTATTCCAGAGTGATGGTGCCACTGCTGTGAAGGCTCTGCGTCTGGTTGCTGTTAGACGCAAGGTCTTGACACTGGGAATTTCCAATAGATCTTGGTCCTCAGAATGGAGGGATCTCTGGGGTTGGTAGGGGGTGAGGCGGTCCCTCAGGTACATCGGCCCCAGACCATGCAAGGCCTTAAATATTGACAATTTATTCACACTGTCATTACTTGCAGCAATAGCCAATGTAGCGAAGCAACCAAGTTGGGGTGTGTGTTGAATGCTCTCATTAAGGAGGCCAGACTTGGTGGAGGTGGTTGACAGGGGCGGAGCTGCAGGCTATTGAAGGCTGCTCTGTTCCCTGCTGTGCTCTTTGCTTCAGCGTGAGCTAGAAGGCAGGTTTCAACCCCCCCCTGCAAAATTTTCAAAACCCCCCCCCCTGAAAATTTCAACCCCTCCCGAATTCTTTTTCTGGCTACGGCCCTGATTACACTTGCCGCACTTGCTCCCTTGCCTGGCCCGCTTTAGGTCCGGAGGCGTGCCTGAAGACCCCGGCGTGTGCACCAAAAGTCACCTCTTCTCCTGACTTTCTCCTCAGCCATTGGGACCAAGAGAGAGAGAGAGAGAGAGGTGGAGATGCCCACTTTTCCTGAAGGTAGGCGCAAAAACAAAGGAGGGAGCGGAGGTGGGAGATACCTCCAGCCGGAGGGGCTCTCTCTCTCTCTCTCTCTCTCTCTCTTGGTCCCAATGGCTGAAGAGAAAGTCAGGAGAAGAGGCGACTTTTGGTGCGCACACTGGGGTCTTCAGACATGCCTCCGGACCCGAAGCAGGCCAGGCGCGGCAGCTCCGCCCCTTGGCCCACCCGCGGATTGGGGAGAGGAGGCGGGTGGAGCACCGGGGGATCAGGAAAGGGAGACGGTCATGGGATCGAACGCGGAGAACGATTGAGTGCCAGCTCTGCTCGCACACCCGGTGGCCGGGTGGAGCAGGAACAAGAGAGGCTAGGCGAGGCTCAAGGGCCCAGCCCCTTTGGGAAGAGGATCGCCCGGCAGCGAGGCAAGAAAGCTGAGGCTCCCCCCCCCCCCCCCCGGACTGCTAGGGCTGTTGTGAGCTGAGGGGGCGCTCCTCAAGTGGCAGTTGAGGGGCATTTACAGAGGCGCCTCTGCGCCCCTGGCAAAAAAAAGTGTTCTGCGACCGCTTACTTCGCATAATGGACGAGCCGCCCCTGCAAGAAGGACATCATAGTCTTGGGTTTCTTCTATTTTTTATGTATTTTGTATCAAAAGCATTGCATAAATTAGTATAAAACTAATAAAAAGAGAAGGAGCGCAGGCAGCGAAATATCTTTCGACCCAAAACGGGCAACAGCAACGGCATTGTCTGTAGCCTCCAACAATTCTTCCTCTGTACATGAGGCAGGGCATTGTGGACAGCATACAGATGCGCAGTTTGTTTGTTTGTTTATTTATTTATTTATTTATTTATTATTCGAGCTTATATGCCGCCACTCCCCTGGGGCTCGGAGCGGCTTACAAGAATGGCTAAAATCGAACACAATTTTAAAACAATTTAAAAACAGCAATATTAAAAATCAAAGGCCTGTCGAAACAGATATGTCTTACATGCCCTGCGGAAAGCTGATAAGTCCCGCAAGGCACGGACTTCAGGTGGCAGAGTATTCTACTGCTGTGAAGGCTCTGCATCTGGTTGCTGTTAGACGCAAGGTCTTGACACTGGGAATTTCCAACAAATCTTGGTCTTCAGAATGAAGGGATCTCTGGGGTTGGTAGGGGGTGAGGCAGTCCCTCAGGTACATCGGCCCCAGACCATTCAAAGCCTTAAAGGTGACCTCTGGGGAGGTCCTGCTCTTGGCCCCACCTTTATCACAAGCGAGACTGGTGGGGACGAGGGACAGGGCCTTCTCAGTGGTGGCCCCTCGCCTGTGGAATGCACTCCCGGGGGAGATTAGGACAGCAACATCCCTCCTTGCTTTCAGAAGGAAGCTAAAAACCTGGATGTGGGACCAGGCCTTCGGGTAAGCTGGCAGATGGACAAAGACAACCAATGACGACCAGAGTAGGAAAGGATAATGACGATGCTAGATGGATTACGGACTATGAATTGGTGAACACTGACCACAAGATGATTTTATTGCTGCTAGTATATTGTTTGACTGTTTTAATTAGTTATAATTGTTGATATTATATGGTAAATTTGTGTATTGCATATTGTATATTGTATTTTGTGAATTGTTAGGCATCGAATTGTGCCTTTTTGTAAGCCGCCCTGAGTCCCCCCTAGGGGTTGAGAAGGGCGGGGTAGAAGCACTCCAAATAAATAAATAAAAATTAAAGGTGAGTACCATCACTTTGAAAGTGATCCGGTGCTCAATTGGTAACCAATGCAGCTGTAGTAAGATTGGGGTTATGTGGCATCTCATCGGAATTCCCGCAAGAAGCCGAGCAGCTGCATTTTGTACCAACTTGAGCTTCCGGATCACCGACAGAGGAAGGCCAATGTAGAGGGCGTTACAGTAGTCCAGTCTTGAGATGACCGTAGCCTGGATCACCGTAGCTAGGTCGTCCCTGGACAGGTAGGGGGCCAGCCGTCTAGCCTGCCGCAGATGAAAAAAGGCGG